ATTATTACTTGAAGTCTACTATAAGGAAGAGCTGCTGTCTCTTCCTATTTATTTAAATTAATATGTACTCATTGATATTTATCTTATTCTATGAATTATAAACCAATACTAGCATTATTTCTTATGTTACTCAAATTTGTAAATTGTAATATTTTTAATTGAGAACATACTCCCTCAGTAAGCACAGAGGCACCTAATATGCTCAGAGAAAATTTTGACAAATGGAGAATTTTCATATTACATATATTTGGTTATGTGCGCTAGGCTGCTAACCAAAAGGTCGGCAGTTCAAACCCACCAGTGGCTCTCTGGGAGAAAAAAACTAAAAATCTGCTCCCAAAAAGATTATAGTCTGGGAAACCCTCTGAGGCAGTTCTCCTCTGTCATATAAGGTTGCTGCGTCAGAATTGATCAATGGCACAAAACAGTGTATATGCGTGTGTGTGTGTAAAAGTGTAAATATTAGAGCTGAAATATTTTCACAGATACTACCTCCATTTGGATTTCTTTTCTTTCGTTATTTTTGCAAAATAAAACTCATCAAATAAATTGTCTCTATTAAAGATTTTTAAATGTTTTCCTAAACTTAGATATTGCAAATCTATCTAAATAAAGAGGTATTCCATCAAAAGTTTCTTCCCATAAGTCAAGTGTTCCAAAGTACAATTCTAGAATTTCAAATTTAAATCTTCTATACAATGAGAGCGCTAGTTATTTAGTTTCTTTAGCTTGTTCCTTATTTTTGTATTCCTTGTTTTCAATGTCTTCCTGTTTGCAATTTTGTTTTCAATAATTACAACTTTGTAGAAGATTAAAAAGCTGAAGTTATTTTTTCCCTCTGTTTGTTAAATGTTTAGCTAAAGACTTCCAATTGATCTTGAACAAATGCAATACAATTTCAGAGGTCTTGTTTACAAAAAAAAAAATTCAGTGCCATTTTAGGGTACTTTGGTTAATTTATTAAGTGGTGCTTCAAAGAATCAAGCATTTCTAAAAACAGATAAGTGATCAGCAGCAAAGAAATTGTGTACTGCCATGCTAAAGATTTTTTTGTATTTAATATAAATTTTATGCCCCAAATTTTGTAGTTGACTCTATAAAAGCATGTGCCAATTTTGACACCTACAGTTCCTATTTTAGTTAACATAATATCACAGCTTTAATTATATATGCATCACAATAAATCCCAAGTAAATTTCTGCTATATAGGCTTTTTGTTTTAGTGAAAACATTGTTTTACCATGATGCTATGCTCCACAAAAATTTGTATTTATAGTATCATTTGTATTCCTAATGTTGAATTTTTCATTTAAAGTTACAGTAACATTTACAATAAAGTCAACCAATTCACCTTTGACACAATATACTTCCAAAAGTTTTTTTTTTTTTTTTAATTCTGTGAATTGTATTAAAAATGTTTGCTTACTGTTGGAATTAACTGATTTTCTATTTTATTCATCTGCTGATAGTGTATGAAATGGTCATCATTTAACTGTTTGCAAAACTCTTCTGCTAATGGTGCCAACTCATTAATAGCCATTACTTTACATTTCCATAGGCCCAAGGGAACTTGGAATTAAATCTGAGTAAAACTGATTTAGAATAACTGTCATTTGATCTAAATGAAAAGTCATGTTGCACAGAGTGATATGTAACACACCTTCTGCAGCTGCATGTGTTAAATCTCATACTTTGGACACAGTCTTTTAAAAATAATGACTAACTTTTGATGTAGATGCGGGTTGCTTCTTTGGCAGATTTGTGTCTTCTCGTTTTCTTATGTCCATGATGGTGTTAAAGACCTCATGGTGGATGATAAGTATTTTGTGTGTTATATGTTCACTATCAACTTTCTTGAGAAAGAGAAAATGAATACTTAATTTTTAAACATGCATCATGAAACTCTTGCTTCTGAAAGGGTTTGTTGCAAAATAAAATAATCCTAGACAAACAATTTTTAAAAAGGGTTGTAGATTTATATCATACAGTAAATAACCAAACTCCGGTAGCAATAGCATCCAGACTTTCTGTAGCAGGACTGCTCAGTCTCTATTTCCCACACATTTCACTTACATCTAATCTGTAATTCCCTACATGTCTTACTAATCCCACTGATTGGCAGCCTGGTGGCTTCATGCTTCTCATAGGTCACAGTCATGGGCCACCCAGCACAGGCTAAGGAACAGCTAGCTGGTACACTCAGTGGACGGCAGGGACAGCCACATCAAATACATCCCCCACCATCACTAGAAGGAAAGAGTTAGTTATCACTAGTCATTCATGTCCAAATGTCTTCATTTTGTCAGCCAGTGCTCTGCATGCTACACTTGAAAGGAAGATGTATGTTTCATTGTAGAAACAGTTGAAGAATAGAAAAGGTTGTGAAAGAAGAGACGGGCTATCTTTCAGAGTTTACCATGTGTTAAAGCTCTATTCACTGCACAGACCTCCTACACCCTACTAGAGGAGACCATGTCAGATATTGAAGTACAAGGCAGGGGTCTTACAAAACTTCTTATAAAGCAACAATTAATAATGATACTTCTTTAAAAAGAAAACATCTAGAAGAGACGCTAAACTAGGCTGAATGCTTAAACAGTAGGTTAAAAACTGGGTACTAGTTTCCTGGAACACTAGGAAAACCAGCATACATGGTCACCTTAAACCTGGAATTGTCTTTCACTCCAGCACATGCAACCAACCACTAAATCTTGTTTATACCTTCTTCCACATTGTTCTTGAATCTCACCCCCATATTCTATTCTCACTGTTTCCATTTTAGCCTAGACGCTTGTTACCACATGCCTGTATTATTTATAACAGCCTATTTGCTTACCTAGGGGCAGCGGTGGTTCAGTGGTAGAGTTCTCATCTTCCGTGCAGGAGACTCGGGTTCAAATCTTGCATAATGAACCTCAAGCGCAGCCACCACTCGTCTGTCAGTGGAGGCTTGTGTGTTGCTATGATGCTGAGCATGTTTCAGTGGAGCTTACAAACTAAGGCAAACTAGGAAGAAAGCCCTGGCAATCTACTTCCAACAATCAGCCAGTGAAAACCCTATGGATCACAATGGTTCAATCCGGTTGTGCATGGGGTCACCATGAGTCAGGGCCAACTTGACAGCAGCTAATAACATTTCCTGGTCTAGGACTCAATTTCTCCTTCTTTCCTTTCTCTTCATACCTAACATGTTTTGTTTCTCCAGAAATTTTTGTCTCATCATACCGTTGCTGAAAAACCTTTTACTGGTTCCTCATTACCTGCAAACTAAATTCCAAACTTCGATTCCAAGAACAATCTGTGCCTAACCTGCTTTTCTAGATTCATTTCTCACTCTTTCTTAACATGAATCTTTACTCCAGCTTAACTTGATTACTCACCATGTTCTAAACACACTTGGTATTTGGCATTTGCTGTCCATATTTTGATCATGTTGTTACTTACTTTTAGAATCTTCTCCTCAACCTGGACCCCACTTGTTGAAATCTTACCTATACCTTTAATGTCTAGTCCAAGTAACATCTTCAAGACTCCTGTGATTTCCCTCTAGAAATGTTCTCTTTATGCTCTGAAGTTCTGTTGCTGTATAGAAACTGCACTGATGGTGTAGTATACAAATCAATTCAAGGATCCATTTGATCGTAAGCTTTCGAAGGACAAAGATGACCTCTTTCATCTTTTGACCTCCAACAATGCCATACAACACCTTATTCTTTGAAGATGTATTCAGTGACTATTCATTAAGTGAATTAATAAATGAATGACCAATGAATCTGTACTTAAGTGATAATGAATAGAGTCTTTTCTTTTAGAAAATATCCTTACAGGTTATTGGGGATGTTTAACCACAAGAACGTATTGAATTGGTGGGAGAATTTAAACCTGTTCATTGGAGAAATATTTTGGGGTAGGCTGACCTTTTGATCTGTAAAAATACTGCAAATAGACAGGTCATTTCTTTTACCTTTGTATGAGATCAACCTGGCTTGTTAAACAGTGGATCTTTCATAAATACTAAACAAGACCAATTTCATATATTTTTATAACTTTGATTTTTTTGTGATAAATATAGAAGATGTGTGTGTCTCAAAGAGAAGATCCATATCAAACTGTTTACAGTGACTACTTGTGGCTACTTGGAAGGCAGTGACATTGGCAAAGTGTATGAAAAGGACTTTTACTGTTACTCTCTATATATTTCTGAAATGTTTTAATGTTTTTGTAATGAGTATATATTGTGTATTACATTTAAAGTGGAAAAATGATGATTTTTTAAGAACTTTTAGCCTACATGACACTGTATATATGGTACCTTCATGTCACAACCATCTTCAAGAAGTTCACGACACAGTATTCCCTTTGAAACTCCCAAGAAATGGAGAGAATAAAATGTTGGCTCAACATTTTCCGAATGATAGTTTCTGTAATTGTTTTTGAAAATCTCACCAGAGTAAGAAAATAAAGTATCTATCTATGATAGTTTGAGAGTAAAAACATATTTGAAAAGCAAATGAAATGGAGAAAAAGAAAACACATGGAAAAAAAGCAGATCTTGTGTAAGTTTTTTTTAATATAAATCCTCATGTAAAAGGCAATCTAAAAATAAATCTATTTATAGGCATGCAATCTGAAAACATTGTGACTAAAGTCAATATCGCTACTAGAAGTTTCAAATATTTAATTCTTTAAGAATCAAGTAAGTGTTAGCCATAAAATAAAATGAGAGAACATCGGGAAGGCAAAGAGTTCGAAAGATTGAAAATTAAAAAGCAAATGGTATGCTTAGTGCTACTCAGGGACTTCAGCAAATGTATATAAACCCATTTGAAAATAAATACAGAGTCCGTGTAATTACAATGAGACTGAAGATGGTGTTTAGCATTTATATATCTCCTGGGAAGCTTAGTGAAGCAGGATGAAGCATAAAACCAAAGCAAAGGGAGGTTGTTAAAATATTATTTCCTGTTGTATTGTAGAACTCAAGAAGAGAATAAACATACCTATTACTTGCATGGCCGGTTCCACATCTGCTGTGGCCTCGTCCAGCAGTGACAGTAGCTTGGCTGATATCTGATGCACGGATTCAATGTTGCTAAACAAGCTATCCACGTCCAGCCTATCAATCTGCAGAAACACAAACACTGAGCGCCAGCTGACAGAGTGACACTCTGTTTTTCAGGATGTTTTCTCTTGCTAAACAGTGAAGCACTTTGTATGCCCACCCATGCTGCCTCTATCAACCGCTTCTGTAAACATTCTTATTTGGGATTTGTAGGGTAAAGGCGTAGTTTTTCACCCAAGAAATTGGGATGGCCCATCTGTTACCTCTATCTTTTTCTTTATTTTGAATAAGTTTTAATGGCTTGAGTGCACATCTACACATTCCTACAAGAACCAGAGCGGGAAGAAGATTTGGGCAACCTAGTAAGTATTTTGGTTAAGTGCTACAGCTGTTAACCAAAAGGTCAGCAGTTCAAATCCACCGGCCGATCCTTGGAAACTCTATGGGGCAGTTACACTCTGTCCTGTAGGGAGGGTCACTATGAGTCAGAATCCACTTGATGGCAATGGATTTGGTTTGGTTTTTTTGTAATAATAAGTATTTTTACTGGAGCCCTAGTGGTGCGGTGATTAAGAGCTCAGCTGCTAACTGAAAGTTTGGCAGTTGAAATCCACCAGCCGCTCCTTGGAAGCCCTGTAGGGTAGTTCTATTCTGTCCTATAAGGTCGCTATGAGTTGGAATCAACTCGATGGCAACAGGTTTGGTTTTGGGTTTATGAAGGTATGTGGAGTCCCTGAGTGGGACAAACAGTTAAGCGCACCGCTATTAACTGAAAGATTGGCAATTCGAACCCACCAGAGGCTGCCTCAGAAGAAAGTCCCGGCTTTCTGCTTCCAAAAGGTCACAGTCGTGGAAAACCCTGTGGAGCACAGTTCTACTCTGCAACACACAGGGTCACCATGAGTCAGAATCGACCCCACAGCAACTGGTTTTATGAAGACATGTACTAGAGTATATGAATCTAGAGTACTTCACTGCTTACACATAAGAATTTGAGCCTTAGCTTAGACAAATAACTATTTTCAAAGCTGTTTTGAAATCACAGATATTCTAAAAGTGATCACAGTGGATGTATTGGGTTGTTTCTTGCTTTTTTAATTAAAAGATATCTTGCAAGAAATGTGAATGAAAAGGTCCCCCAAACGTGTTCTACTGATAAAAGATTCATCAGATTTTGTAAAAGCATGCACACCCACAGAAAGCAGTAATTATTTTTAGATCTATTGTTGGTGCTTATAATAATTTATTTGTTCAGTCATCCATTCTTTCATGGGATATTTCTTGAGCACCTTCTGTGTACCAAGAATTGTGATAGAAGCCAGACTCCGTCATAGGTATTGGCTGGAGTCTAAGGACGGCCAACTCCTAAGTTATCAAAGCAAAATTTGGTATCTGCCCTGATTTTGCTGGGTCTTACTCAAAATGTTTCCCTTGAGTTTAAATCAGATCTGCTTCCATAAGCAAACAGCGTCTATTCAGGGCATGGCCAGGTTGGTGCAGGCTCCACTGGGCTACAGCAGGGAACAGGACCAGGTGCCTGGTTTATTGTGCATGAGGTCAAAGGTGGATAACCAAGCCATCAGAAATCAAGTCATGGAAGAGCTTCAAAGTCGAAAAGCAAGGTTGTTGGTCCAAAACCAGGACAGCAAAATCAGGGGCAAGAGAGAAACAGAGAATCTAGCTAAGGGTCAGAAAAGGGTGCTGAGAAATTAAGGGAAATCAGGAGTAAGGGATGTAAGAGATAGGCTTGGAGGAATTCTGGAGATGAAGGTCAACTGCAGCTTCTTCCCATCCTTTAAGCATCATTTTCTTAGAAGTGCCAGATTTATTTAAGGGGGAGGAAGGAGACAATGTGTTTATATGTTTATTCCACCTTTTTCTGACATTGGCCCATCTGTTGCCCATATTGGACATGGGCGCTATTTTGATAAGGATATTCTATTATTGGATACGGAAGCATGACTTCACATCGTACCTTGTTGAAACTTGATAAGTGTTTCAGTTATTTCTTATGCAATATAGTTTTGCTGTACACAACATTTCTTTTAACTATCTTGGGAAATTTCTCACCTTTCTATAATCAGTCATGTTCTCAGGATAACTCCCAGCCTCCCTTGTAGCCAAATTCCATGTGATTAAATGCAGGGGGTTTATTTCAATATAGGACTATCTTTTTTTTTTTTACTACTCTTATGTATTCTGGAATTATTACATTATAATCACTATTAGCTCTTAGGGCCTTTAAGCCAGTGTTTCACAAAGTGTTCTTTCATTAAGCACTCAATTTAAAAGGAGAAGGTACATGTGGCTCTTTTGCCTGAAATCTATGGATATTCCAGACTTCCTATTTCTATACTAGAATATATATTTAATATTATACAAAATGTTTAAAAGGCATATAACAGCTATATGGCTTTTTTGTTAATTATAATTTTAAATTATAAAAAGTCACATATCTCTGAATACCACTGATTTAATACATTACTCATCCTAAGGAATTGTCTTATGTGTTGGGAATTAAATTCACAAGGTGTAACATTGCATAGTGCAATAGATTTGTTTCCCCAAAGCTGTGTAAGAATAAAACTTTTGTAGATTGGTTTATATTTTGAATGAACTAGCTGTATGGTTTTTTAAATCATTGTTTGAAATGAATCCTTCTAAAATGTGAAATGCCATTCCCTAAATTTACCTGCTTTGTAAAGATAGAAGATCAGATTTAACTCATATGGTATATTCCTATTAATATTTCATTTTGTTGGGCAAACTTTATTCTGAAGAAATTGTAGTGTTTTATATTTATTATTTCCTATATAATTTCAACTTCTCTGTAAAATATGAATTTTTATCTGTAAAATTTGAAGAGGGGAAAACAAATGCACAATGAAGAGAGGTGCTGTACTTAAAATTATGCAAGAAGTTAAGGACAGAGCAAGAACAAGAAATTGACTATTTTGATGTATCCTTTAGTCCATTACCAGCTAATACTAATAGTAGAGTACTTTGCTGGCTCTGTTTTGTTTTTTGTTTGTTTGTTCTTTAGTTTTCCACTAAGTTGTCTCTTTACTTCTACAATTCATTTGCCAAGGTCAGTATCCTGCATGTTTGTCTGGTTCAGATTATAAATCCTTTTAGCAAGGATTTAATTCTGCATTTTATCTATAATCTTAGCTCAATGTAGCAAATATGAAACAATAAAATGTAAGTTTTAATTACATTTCTTCCTGAAGGACAGAAAGGATTAAAACATCAATTGGACTGGTCAGTCACTTATATCCCAATGGGCCCATGGGGATTACGTGAATCATAAAATAAATTCGTGTCCAGTCACTGCTATGCCAAGGAGCAAACAAATACCTGGTCCAAACAGGCTTTTAAAACTGGTGGATGATTTTATGATTACTGATAAAAATTCAAGGAAACATCTATATGCATTTATTAATCATTTACTAGAAACAGGCAATGCTCTAAGAGCTTAGTTGAATTGTTTTAAATGCATTAAAAATTCATTTTTTTGAAAAAAAAGATTTAGTCTAATTATGTATACGTTATTCTAAGCAAAATCGATATATAACAATTCAAACTTACAAATCAGAAAATTTAAAGATCAATGTTTCCTTTGACAATTTAATTTTTTGCTTTACAAAAATATTCATCACAGGATGTATTTCAAATAGCAAGTTTCCATTACATTTAAACACTTACTGGGCCTACAACTGCATATATGCCAAATTCCCCAGGAAGAAATACCTAAGTAAAGGAAAACATTCCTATAAAATTACATTAATTCAGACAGCGTCATCATTGTTACAGAATTACTTCGTACTTCTCCATGCACCTTTCACTCACTGTTTCCAAGGCGTTCCCTGCATTTTCCTGCTTTCAAACCTTAGTCCATGCCTTTCACTTAGTTCAAAAATGCTTTCTCCTCATATAACCTTTCACCTTTCTGCCTGTCTGAAATGGAATATGGTAATGACAGTGTTTGTCTGTCTAGTAGTTTTGTCCATCTTTTTGTCTCAACCCACCGTTTTTAGGGGGGAGGGTCTGTTTGGGAAACCACAGCTCCTCAACTCTATCTGGTCCTGGTAGAACTATCAGTCATAGTGCTTGTCCCCTTCCCTGCCACCTGCAGTGGTAGGCATGTGACCTAAGCTGGCCAATCAGTGTATCCCGTGATCCTAGCAACAGTGATCGTTCAAGACGGTCAGGTGCCCCAAAGGAGAGCCAATGAGAATCACCACTGATTTTTAATAAATGGATGTTGGTAAACAGAGGGCCTGGACTGAAGCTCTAAGTATGTAAGTTTCTGTCTTCTGCAGTCATGTATGTGAAGAACTTGTGATAAAGTCAATACAAAGAGAAAAGCTAAGCCTGGCAGCACCATGTTAACCCCTGAATCTAGCCTTGCTTAAAGTAGGGCATCTCTATTACAAAGTAAATAAATTGCCTTTTTAATTTAAGCTAGTTTGAATTTTATTTCTGTTATCTATAACCTTTACAAGACTAATAAACTTTCCTTTAATTCTAGCCAAAATCCCACTTCCTTCAAGAAACTTTTCTGTTTCCTTGGCCAAAATTAACCCCTCCCTCTCCTGCAATCATATGACTTTTTTTGTATTATTCATTGTTTGTACTGAAGCCCATTATATATATTAGGGGTTGTCATGGACTGAATTGTGTCTCCCTAAAATATCTGTCAACTTGGCTAGTCCATGACTCCCAGTATTGTGTGATTGTCCACCATTTTGTCATCTGATGTGATTTTCCTATGTGTTGTAAATCCTACTTCTATGATGTTAATGAAGTGGGATTAGGGGCAGGGATGTTAGTGAGGCAGGATTCAATCTACAAGATTAGGTTGTGTCTTAAGCCAATCTCTTTTGAGATATAAAAGAAAGAAGTGAGCAGAGGGACATGCAGACCTCATACCACGAAGAAACAAGAGCCAGGAGAATAGCGTGTTCTTTGGACCTGGGGTCCCTGCGCTGAGAAGCTCCGCAACCAGGGGAAGACTGATGACAAGGACCTTCCTCCAGAAAGATAGAAAGAGAAAGCCTTC